GTACTGATTCGCTACCGGTCCGTTTTTTTTTTACCCTTCCGTCGAATCGTCTAAACGGTGAAAAACGTTTTACGTAGGGGTGAGGGGAGGGGGGCGGGGCATATAGGGAGGTCCGTGGAAGGGATTTTGGTTTCGTTAGGGGTTCGGTTAAAATCGCGTCGGTTTCCTGTCGAGTACACCGGTCTCCACTGCCAGAGTGTGCATATGTGTGTGTGTGTGTGTATCACGCGTGACTATCGATGTAGCCCGTGTATATACAGGGTGTTCCAAAATAATTTCGAAATTATTCTAAGAAACCCTGTAAATGTAACACTCGTCACATATTCCACGAATTCACGACGTACATACACACACACACACACACACGTATGTAAGTGTCTCCGATAAAAAGTCGACTTGTTCTCCTCCTTCGTCTTGTATTTTTTTTGTTTTTTTTTCTTAAAACTCCGGCTGGTTTTAAATTCATTTCAGCGCGGCGGCGGTTATACTTCCGTTACTCACGATAAGAATACGTATATATACAATTAATTTCAGCATTAAATTGGTTTATGTCAGTCGTTATTGAGCAGGACGTGTTATACTGATCCGAGATCGCGCTACACGAACGAACCTGACCAATGAGCAAAATCAAAGCGTGCGCGCGCACGAGCGCATTGACAGTCTTCACGATGGGATTTTGATGAATTATCGTAACTGTTTAAAACGTGCGCGCACGACACTTGTTGCGCTGTCTTTTTTATTTATACACCGCTTTTGATCGTTAATAATTCCTCCATTCGAAATTTCCTCTATCCTAGACTTTGCGATCCTCCTCCGTTCGTTCGAATTTACCATTACGAATCGAGACTTAGCGACGAATCGGGGCGGCGGCGAACAACCGAGGGCACAACACGCACGATAACGAACGACGAGGGATCCAGATATTCGATTCCCCCTCCGTTTTTAAAATAGGTATTACGTACACAGATTTTCACGGCCTCGAACAAACAATCGCGAGAGAGAACTCGTTCGCGTGCCGGAAACGAAAGAAATTAACGATAGATCCTCCTCTTCTCTTTATCTCTTTCTCCCTCCTTTTGTCTTTTCCTAGATCTGTTAGAAATAGACGAAGAAACCCAGCTCTCGACGGAAGATCCTTCTCTTTTGTACCCTTGGATCTACGGTATTTTTGGATCTACGGTACACGTAGATCTCTGGTACGCCTGGATCTCTGGTACGTTTGGATCCCTGGAACGCCTGGATCTATCGTACGCATAGATCTTTGAGACGCATAGATCTTTGGTACGCCTAGATCTAGGGTACGTTGGGATCTCTGGAACGCCTGGATCTATCGTATGCATAGATCTTTGAGAAACATAGATCTCTGGTACGCCTGGATCTGCAATACGCATGAATCTATCGTACGCGTAGATCTCTGATATATCTGGATTTATGATACGCGTAGATCTGTGATAAATTCGCGTGGATCTCTGTTAAATAGGCGTAGATCTCTGTTAAATACGCGTAGACCTCTGTTAAATACGCGTAGATCTTTGCTAAATACGCGTAGATCTCTGCTATATACTTGTAGATTTCTGTTATATACGTGTATATGTTGGTATATACTTATAGATCTTTGGTATATACGCCTGGATATCTGTTATATACGTCTAGATCTTCGGTATATATGCGTAGATCGTTGGTATATTCGCGTGAATCTCTTTTATATCAGCGTAGATCTCCGTCCATCATTCAACGAAACCGTACTTTCCACGATTTAACGATCGAAACGAAGCGTGCGCACTCTCGCGGAGAAACTAAAATCGTTCCGTTCTCTCGAATCCCCCTCCCGTCTCCCTCCATCGTTTTCGGAACACACTTGTTTTTTTTTTTCAGGTTTTCTCGTTTTCTTCTTTCTTTTTTTTTTTTTTGGTTCTCTTCTTTCCGTCGAATTCCATCGACGAACACTCTGTCGATACACACACTCGCTCTCGGAAATAAATGTTCTACACGATCCAATCTCGTCTGGCGATCGTGTTTCCTTCTAGGATCGATTCAAACCTCGTTCGATCCGTCTTTTTTTTTTTTCTTGTTTGCATCCTCCGACCTATTTATATTTTTTCACGTTGAACAATAATATCCTCAGTCTCGTCTGGTCAATAATGAGCAATACAACGGGGGGAAAGGAGAACCCTGTCGAATCGGGTAACCGATCTACCCCCTGGAGAAAGTCCAAGGGAGAGTAAACGCGAAAGGTAGCTTTTGGGCGCCTCCCGTGATATACTATCGCTCGATCCTCTTTAATTAAACTTCTACGTGTGTGTGTCATTCGCGACAATCTGTCCCACGATTATCGGCTAATAGTACGTTTTTTTTTTAGCGATCCTGTCTTTTTTTTTTTTCGTTTCCTTCATCGTGTATTCTCGGTCCTCGTCGAGTCAATCTCCTGAAACCGTCGCAGAATGGTCGATTCTTCCCACGAATGGGACAAAACTAAAAAAAAAAACATTTTTTAAATTGAAAATTGTTAAGTTCTTTTATAATCGATAAGTTTTTCCCCCGTTCAATTTTATTTATAACTGAAAAAATGAAATTTAGATGTATGTTTAATTCTATAGTTTTCCAATAAAGTAAGTTTCCAAGTATACAGTCCGACTTTTCACAATAATCGACCATTGTGCGTCGTGATCGCAAGAAGGGGCCATTTAACGTGACACAGCTTACCCGTGCCCCGTAGACTGAGGATTTTCCCGTTTCTCTCTCACACACACATACACACTCTCTCTCTCTCTCTTTCTTTTATACACAGGAATCATTGTTTCATTAACGATTTACTTGTCAATTTATATTTTATGTAATGTTACTTATAAATTTATTCGCGTGTAGTTTTTCGTCGTCAGGCCGTGGCTATACAGGGCCCCACTACATTGATTTTTTCGTCCTGTGGCGCGCGGTCTTTCCAAGTATTATATATATATGTATGTTACAAGGTGGCCGTGTATATATTTTCCCTTCAGTGTTCTTTCTGTGTGTGTATATATATGTGTTTGTATTTTTTTGTTGTGTGTTCTCTGTACGCATGCAATTATACCCACGTGTCCTCTGCGATACCATTTTGTTCTTGTTCTTTGTTTCTCCCTGTCATCGTTACGTTCTCACTTTGTTTCTGTTCCTTTCTCTCGCCCTACCCGTTCGGGGAATGTTTCTCCCCGCGTATTTATTATTATTACAATAAGAGATTCGTCGACTAGATGCTACCGTACCGAGCGTTGGTTTTGTTTTCGTTGCGCTTTCCTTGGTCTCTTTGGAATCGGTCGTCTTGAACTCCACGCACGGGATATACTATACATCGAATATTCCCGCCACCGTCGAAAGGTGGAACAGTTTGTTCACGGCGAGTTCCTCGTGGCTAGACAAGCCTACCAATCTCACGGAAACGAACCGTGGTGCCATCTGTCCCATGAACCGATACTATACGCGATATTTCGGCGTGTGGCACCACTGACGAGGTTTAAGAATAGATCTTTCATCTAATGGGAGTTGGTGGCCCACCTAAACTGTAGTACCGACACCTTAAAAAGCCTATGATTTTAGTGATTTCTACGTTTTGAGAACGGTCAATCTGCGGTGGTTAGTGACACTAAAATGGAAATAGGTGACGTAACCCCAGAGAACTGGGCCGCAAAAAAAACATTGGATGAAATGTCTAGTCCCATACCTCGTCTGTGGTGGCACCATCTGTAGCTTTCTCTGTTCTGCGCACAACTTCAGGACCGTCAATATGTACTGTGCAGAGCTGAGAAGTTGGGCACGGCATAGATGTAAAGAGGGGGTATAGGTTTTGGAACCAGTACCAGACAAATACGTTTTGTATTTGAATTAGGAATAATATTGATGTTACGTTAGCTAATGAATAGATTGCGAATATTTATAGGTTAGTTTACTGAACTGAAATTACGTCACAGATTTGTCCTTCATGAAATATTCTGTCAGGTTCAAAGTAAAGTAAAATTTATACTAACTTTTACGAATAGTTTTACTGTATCGTGTTTTGCACACTCAAATTTCCGATAAATTTTCAATAAGACCAATACTTTCCTCCAGCTTGCCCAGCTCCCAGCAAAGTACAGTGGCCATAGGAACCAAAACCACTCTGTTGACAACCAGATGGAGGACCTAACCACGGTTCGTTCCAGCACAATTCCACGGAATTTCGACTCGAACCCCCCCCCCCTGTGCCGCGGGCATTCAGCTAACGCGTGGTCTCAGCATCGCTCCCATCAGTTCGTCGTGTTTTTCTCGCCTACCTCCAGATCACATAGGTGAACCAGTAGCCCATGTTGAACAGGATAAACGTGAGCGGGAACGCGATACGCGCGATGATGTCGATCCTGGCACTCCCCTCCGCCCGACAGGTGAACCAACCGCGTGGCAGTAGACCGCAAAAACGCCTTTTGGCGCGCTGGAACGGTGTCGTTCGACGTTCGAACTGCTGGAAATCCTGCTCCTCCTCGTCCTCCTGCTGTGGTGGTATGATGGTCGGTGACGACGTTGCGGTACCTCCTCGATAGGTAATTGGCAACGATGTTGCGGTACCTGGGCGATAGGTGATTGGCAACGATGTTGCAGTACCTGGGCGATAGGTGATTGGAAACGATGTTGTGGTACCTCCGCGATGGGTGATTGGCAACGATGTTGCGGTACCTCTGCGATCGGCGATTGGTGACGGGGATGGGGAGGACGATTGTGACGATCTCGTGGAGCTCTTGAAGGAGTATCGAGCTGGTCGCAGGGAGCTGATGCGTACGGGACCCTCGAAGACCGTGTGCAACGCGGAGAATGACGCCGAACGGGGCTGATGTGAATGGTACCGATGCTGATACTGATTATGATGATGACGATGATGGGTTGTTAAGGGCCGATGTTGCGGCAATCGTCTACGCTGCTGTCGGTCCAGATCATCCTCATCCTCATCCTCCTCCTCTTCCTCCTCCTCCTCCTCCTCTTCCTCTTCTTCCTCCTCCTCCTCCTCCTCATCCTCCTCCTCAGCGTCTTCCTCCTCTTCGTCATCCTCCGGCTGTGACTGCTGATGTAGACTCACGTGACGATGGTGGTAGTGATGGTGGTGGTGATGGTGTCGTGGACGTGGACGATGTGATGATGACGATGATGTTCTGTAGTGTTGGTGGTGATGGTGATGATGATGGGAAGGGCCGCGTGCCATGTTCCTTGATCCAAGCGTCTCCTCAGCGATGTTTACTCGCCCCCCGTCTCTTCCCGGAACAGGTACGTGGACCAGTACGCGAGGTTGAAGAAAGCGAATACGATGGGGAAGAAGATCCGCGATATGACGTCGATGCGCTTGGACCTCGTCGGGAACTTGGACAGCCACGACCTGCAGCAGTTTTTTTTTCGTGGTTGCATATGTAATTCGCAGTGCTGCATCCTATCCACCGACATGGTGTCCTCCGGTTGCCGGACCAGAGGTTTCTGAAAGCAATCGTGGGCGACGGTGACACCATTAGTCGCGTGAAGGTCGGGGGGCCCTGTGCTCGCTACCAAAATCCTCCTACCCCGTGTGCCGGTCGGTTCGTTTTTTCGTTTCTCGGTTTTTTTTTTTTTTTGCGGCGGCGGCGTGATGTGCATGCTTGTCGACGTACACCTCGACTGCCGTGTTCGGGCATCCCATATCGGTCTCGGCACGTTTTAGTTAGGAATTTTTTTACCAGTAAAATAACATTTGCAATTCTGGCTGAGAACCACTGAGAAATGCGGTCGTTCTGTCTCGATATTGTGGGTCTCTGTAACTGCGCGTGACAGATTTATGGAGATTTGGCTGGCAGTCGAAGTGTTAATCGAACCATATATGGGTCAATGGCATTGTCAGTATTAATAAATTTGTCTTTATTGCAAATATATGATTGAAACAACAACAAATACGAAATTTAGTTAGTAATTACCAGTCGTAATACTGACAATATTAATACTGACAGTAATACTGATCGTGTGTAGGCGATAGCGGTGGATCCAGGTACCGATGCCCGATCGCAGATTTCTCGATCCTCCAGCATCGGTATCGGTGGTAATACTGACTGTCTGTATCATTGTATCAGTATCACTGATCAGTACCACTGATTGCGAGGTCTGCTCGACACTAGAACTACCGAAGATGAACGTGTTTCTATTTCTATCGGGTTGGTAAAAGGGACAGCTTGTTAAAAATATGCAAATCGATAATTTAACGAACTACTTCACTCATATATTGCAATGAAAATTGCGAAGAATCTGAGAAAGTACACTGTTATGATATTATTTTTTTTTATAAAGAATTGACAAAGCTTTTATAAGAGTTTATGAACTAATCACTTTGACAGCTTTGGTAGTTCTGGTGCTAAAAGGTACGTTGACGGTCTGGCCACTTGTTTCATTGCAATGTCGTTACATTCGATACGAGAGTGTCAACGTACCTTAAGGACAAAGGAAATGGCTTATGTCACCGTGAATGCGATCAATTTCATATCGTATCGAGGTTTATTTAGCATTTCAGAAATATTTTCTATTGTTAATAGTACTGATAATCCAAGCAGAGAAATTCATTTGTTATCCAACAAAGAAATTCATTTGTATGTGTGTAATAGGTTATAAAGTAAATCCTCGATGAGTGCTCGAAGGCTCATCGCCACTGACAAGGAGAGGTACCCAGGTGTAATGCTGACTTTTTAATGAGCTTAGAATTCTGAAGCCAATGATATTTGTTTCAGCTGTACATGGCCATTAGTTTTCGAACACTCAGTGAGGATTCACTGTATCTTTGAATTTCGTACAAATCCATGGAACTGTAAAAGAATCTTGAAATTTTTTTAAGTCAATCTTTTTGATATACATATAATATATTAAAATTTATATAAAATCGATTTAGTTTTGCAATAACTTTCAATTGATCGCATTCACAGCAACGATTCTATGTTCACGGACACAGTGACTCACAGATTCGCCAGCATGCTCTGGGACATCAACGTTCGGACGTGAATAAGTGTTAACATTTAATATGGGAAAACAAACTTGTAAAATCGTGCAACGAAAGGTTCAGATTTGATAATAAGCAGGTTAACGATCACTTTACAAGTATGACTGATTTTTCGTCCCGGTTTCTGTGTTTAATCGATAACTGCATTACAAGACTTATACACCGATCTGAAAGTAGTCAATAGAAAATGAGAAAATGGAGGAAAATTTACAGCTTTACCGATTTCAGACGAAAATCAACCATACGATCTATGAAAACAGATACATTCATTCGACACAATCTGTGAGTCACTGTATAAGTTGCACGATTCTTAAGGACAGATAAAACTAATGTTAAGAAAAAACAAAATTGACACATATATACGTTTCTATACCCTCCCCCATAATGACGAGAAAAAGATAAATAATAAATCCACAGAACCTGAACTGTTTAATCGATCGGGTATACTTAAGAAACGTCTACGGTTCCAAATAAAGAGCGAATGAAAAGAAAATTGAATTATAAGAGGAGAATTCCGAAAGAAGTGTGCCGTTCCAGATTTCGGAACGTTTCTATACAAAGATCGATCCCATACACAGAGACACAAAAAAGGTACATTCAATGTGGTCAGAAAGCTGATTGCGGTGCAATTTATGACAGATAATATCAATAATTCCGGACAGACATCTCGATGATCCTCCGTCGAACTTGCCCACACATGCATCACAACTCGATTCTCGGTTTTTCTTTTTTTTTTTTTTTTTGTTATTTCGATCGCGTTCGATAGTGCGCGGTATTATTTTTTTATCCAAAACGATGAACACGTGTTAGACAAATATTCAGAGAGCATTCTAAAGGAGCGATCCTCGAAAATGGAAATATACACGGTGTCTCAGTTGAATGGGATATTACATAAATATCTGCCTTATTTACTGTTGTATAAAAGAACTTTTCAGAACAACGTTGAACCTTATTTCAAGGGTCACGTTTAATGGTGAAAAATTTGTTCTCAAGGTCATTGGTATTTTTTTAAATGGAGTTTTATAATTTTTTTTGCGATATTCTTATAGAGCATGAAGAAACAAACTCAATGACCTCAATAAACAAAACCCAACTCAGACTTAATTAAATAATGTAATTTATTGATTAGTATATACCCGTAAATTCAATTCGATTTTATTGCATGTGGATATTTAAATCAGTGCTGTCTGAAATGTTTTTCGGTTAAAAATTCTATTTGAAAAAAATTTAAAACCCTACAAAAAATGCTGAAATTTTGCAGTGAGTAGATTTATATTTTTACAGTTACAACGTATTACCATAAGTATTGTTCTTGAAATTTTTCATATTTTTCGGTGAAGTGCTTAAAAAAATGAAAAGCATTTTCATCATTTTTAGGGTTTTTAATTTTTTTAAATTCCAGGGAAAGAATTCTTGAGTAGAAACACTAGGTTGAACTTTGTTCAAAGAAGTTTTTTTCTTTTTTTTCATACAACAATGAATGAGACAGGATATTTAGGGACGATCGTTCCATTCATTTGAGACACCATGTATATATTTCCGCGGACAACACGCTTTTCATCACAGTTAACAGAGATCATGCAACGTGAATGAACACACACATCGGTGGTGCCTAAAGAATTGTCTACACGCACATCCAGCTTTGATCAACGATAATCGAAACAGTCCGGCCTTATAACGGAAACGTGTGCGGGAGGAAACTCCAACGAGCCCCTCTCGTGTTGTATTCACACAAAACGGGCGGCTACTGAACAAAGTTTACAAATCGCCTGTATTCGGTTAGATCTCTTCCAAAAGGAAGCCTCACTCTAATTCGCGCGGTACGAAAAACATCCGTTTTCGGAGGCGATTCTCTCGACGATTCTCGCGGACATTTCGAGCGAAGATGAAGTAGAAGAAGAAAATAAAAACAGGAAAAATAAACGAGAAGAATAGAAATTGTCTACGATAATCTTGATACCTACGTGATATAAATATACGCATTCATCAGAAATTACAATATTAAAGTAATATATGTATGTATATACAGGGTGTCCTAAAATAGTTGTAAGTTCTCGGAAGAAGTGGTTCCTGGAGTGATTTGAAACAACTTTTTCCTTGGCGACAAAGTTTTTCGAGGCTTTGTTAATGAGATATTCACGAGAAACCCCGACCAATCAGAGCATTCGTCTGTTAGCTGAGCTCCCGCGGTAGGGCGTGGCTAACGTTACCGCGGAGCTCAACTGACAGATTAGCACTCTGATTGGTCGGGGTTTTTCGTGAATATCTCATTAACAAAGCTTCGGAGAACTTTTTCGCTAAGGAAAAAGTTGTTTCAAATCACTCCAGGAACCACTTCTTCCGAGAACTTACAACTATTTTAGGACACCCTGTATATACGATTATAAACTTCCATTACCATGAAGCTATTATAAATATACACAGTAAAAGAACCTCTAAAAATCGGCTCGGTAATAATACCGAGACACGCTGAAAGTCATATATTACGGAATATAAAAAAGTATATTAAAAGTAAGATTATTAACTGGTCGTTAAAGTGGGTTTATTTACCTGTAGAGAATGTTGAAGTGGTCCATCATATCCGGCCTAGCGGTTTACAATAATAAAAAGTAACATAATAGAATGAATGTACGTCATAACAGCTGTGTGTGTGCACGCAGAATTTCGCAATGGATAATGTTTGTTCATTTCTGTTTTTTTTTTTCATTTTTTTTGGTGAAATCAGACGAAACTAATTTCACGCGGTTACAGAACGAGGATTGGCTACACCTAATGCCTTAGTATTCGTTGAAAATTCGCCTGTGACAGAATAGAAAGTGTCAAGCTTTTTTTTCGAGGAAATGAGAAATCAAACGAGCAAAAAAAATAAAATAAAGTAATCAGACTCAAGCCTTTCTCTCTCTTTCTCTACATTTCTCTCTCTCTCTTTTCTCTTTCTCTCTCTCTCTCCCACTCTCTCTCTCTCTCTCTCTCTCTCTCTCTCTCTCTCTCTCTCTCTCTCTCTCTCACGCACGCACGATCGAAACGCGATGGGAAACGCGCGTAAATTCAAACGAAAGAAAAACCAAATAGAGAAGAAAAATAAATAACGAATCAACATTGCTCTTTATCACTGACCAAAGATGAATGCTACCATAAAATGGTTAATCGACAATTAAAAAAAAAATAAAGAAAAGAGAGGCGGCCATAGGAGATTCAGGTCGTGGGGTTATACTGACCATAGCGAAATTCGACGAGTTATCGGGCTCGACTTGATCGCAGGACATATCGATCGCCTGTTCGGCCTCCGACGGTGGAAACTTTTTCCGTATGTTATCGCTGTGCATGTCGCTCCGCGACGCGTAATTTACCAGGGCAAACTCTAGCAGTGCCCCGAACACGAAGGTCAGGCATACGCCAGTCCATATATCGATAGCCTTTGTATAAGAGACTGGTGGCAGTGAGGCGTTTATTCCTGACGTCTGCGTGGCCATCGTCAGCAGCGTTGTCACACCTGTTTACCAGAAAACATATTTTAGAACACACGTGGAATTAGGAATTTGGTTTATTTCCGCTACTATTGAAAGTAAAAAAAATTACTAAACAGCATGTACAGCGACTAGCAAACTGGGCTTCCGCTAGGGGAAAAAGCGGCGTAGAATAAAAGTCTCCTACCACTTGGTACATTTATTCCAGGTACGGAAATACTGAACTAATTTAAATAAGTTTTTCTATAACTAATTTATTGTTTAATTTTTACACTAAATGCAAAATATGCGTACTGAGCAGAAATCGGGACGTGATTAGAAATAGGGACATTGACCTTGTACCCTCGGTTCGAGCAATTTACAGTAAATTCTGTATAAGTGTTCGCTCCTCGGCATTGAACATTAAATATTGCATGAACTAATGGTCGTATGCGGCTGAAATAAATATCATTGGCTACAGAATTCCAAACTCTACACTTGGAGACCTCTCCTTGTCAGTACCGAGGAGCCTTCGAACACTCATCGAGGATTCACTGTACTTACCTAACGAGACACGAGCCGGCACAGCGCTCTGGTCGAGCCAGAACGACACCCAGGACACGATGACAAGCATGCAGCACGGAATGTAGATCTGGATAAGGTAGTAGCTGAATTCTCTCTTGAAGAGCAGGTCCACTTTTAGACAGCTGTATTCGCCTGTCAACAGAGTCAGCGTGTCTCGTTATTCTGTGGGACGGGAGGGGGGGGGGACAGCTAAAAATCCGTGGACGTAATGTGGGGATGGTAAAAAGTGGTTCACCGACCGGTGTTCGTTTTGCTGTTACAATAATCGGTAAGAAACTTCTCCAACGTGAACCGTGGTAGGTGTAAATTCTTCACAACCTGGACAGGATCCCCTTCCTTCCAGAGAAACACCAAATCATCTGTCGTCCAACCGTCTGCAAAGAAAAAAAACAAAGTTGGAAACACGAAGTTCGTGGGTGATTTCAGATGGATAATACTGGAACACGCAATCATCGACTATTAATCCTTTAATGGTGGAATTCTGTTTTGGAAATGTGTAATCGTTTTATTTCTTCATTCTAATAAAAGAAATATAGTTTTTAATTTTTCATAAAATTTTTATTTTTATAGCAAAAGTTATTGTCTTTTTAGTATACTCGTCATAGGAAACAATAAAATAACTTTGCTATATAAATTGAAATTTTAATAAAAATTCAGGAATATATTTTTTTTTCTTGGAATAAAAGAATCAAGTAATTACGAATTTTCAAAACGAAATTTCACTTTTAAAGGGTTAAGATTAGATACTTACAGCTGGCCATTCGCAATGAACAAATTTGTCGATCCAAGGGGTACAATTTTAAATTCATCGGGCACGCTAGTGTCAAGGATATCCTGGAATTAAGAAGAATACGATATGTAGATACTTCGTCGAGGATCTAGGTACGGTACTTCCCCATAAGATCACGAAATTATGGACTCCCATTAATGTGATGTTTCGTTTTCTCCTATCAGTAGCATAAGTGTTGTCTATCGAGATTTAATATCCCCTAAACAGTATTTATTTCAGACTGTCAACAATTTCGTAATGACTTGTAACGTTTATTACATATTCCATAAATGTCCCAATATTCGATATGTCCTAGTATTTGATAAATGTCCTAGTATTTGACAAGTGGCCTAATATTCGATGAATGTCCCAATATTCGATAAGTGTCCTATTATTCGATAAGTGTTTTTATTATAAAATAATACTGCATTTTCTTGAATCGGTAGACACTTGGTCGACAATTATTTAGCCTCGTTAACTGTTTACGGGTTCAGATTGATGCTCCTAGATATTGTTGTTGTTCATTTATGTGTCATTCGAATAAAATTGCTCCCAACTATGCACTTTCGGTGATCGCGAGATCTTATGGGGATGAGCACTGTGTTCGATCGATCTATATATTGATGATAATTGTTCGAATTCACCTTATACTGTATAGAACAGAGCCATTTGGATAGATACGAATGTACACGTTCGGCATAATAATATTGTGAAAATGTCCCTCTTTCTCGTTCGAGAAGAACAGATCCGGCATCCAAACACGACTCGCGTCCGTCAACGTTAAATATTTCAAACGACCTGTAATAATTACAGGATGAAAAATTGCACATTCGAGGACACGAGATATCGTTTTCCTTCAGGTTAAGCACTGCAGTTATTCAAAGGTTTAAGTTACCGTTAAAATCGTCGAATAGCAATCGGTCATCCAGCCATTGTTCTCGGAATGTTAACTGTACAGAATACTCCTGTGGGGGAACAGAGAATAAGACGATTTAGTCGATCGATCTATTTCTTTCAAACGATATAAGGTAGCGAATTGATTTTAGGCTCGGAATGATCGTTCGGATAGTTTCTATAAAAGTAAACGATATACGGGGCAGGTTTGTTTTGGTAAACTAGCACGCGGTAAAGAAATAGAAACGTGAGGACGTGAAATCCAACGTTAGAATATAAAATCTATGACAGAATGTTCTCTACAATCACAGGAAACAATTTATAAATCACAAGAATAGTAATGAGTATTTAGTTAATTTGAGTTAAAATATTAAAATATTTAGTTGATTATTTAGGCAGTAATGAGACTTCATTGATATATTTAAAATACAATTTCTTTGGAACCGTGAATCATTTTTCTGAATCCCGATCGATATAATTAGTATTTGCTGGTTTGGTAAGAATTTATTAACACTTTGCCTTCCACAGTGGAAAAGACCGTACTTAGCCAGACACATTTTATTTCGTTTTTTGTCATAAATCGTCGAAAATATATGCTTCTAGTTAATCGAGACTGTTGGTCTTGTCTTAAATTATACTGCGATATTAATTTTAAGTAAACATTTTGTAACGATATTTACATAATCTAGTCTCTTTGCAATGTGTATGTGTTACCCATATTTTGATGACGTGGCAGTCAAAATGTTAGTGGAAACATGAATGATTATCCATTTCTAACGTCGGACTTCGTTTGAGGCTTCTATTGGTCCTTTCTAATTGTGAAAATTAGCCTACGTAAATTTGGATGAGAAATTGATGTCGATGAAAAATTGAAATAATGGGTGCATATTTAATGTCTAATTGAATGGTGAAAGAAATAAACTAGAGGGATTCGGAACATTTCGATTTACGAAAATTATGCTTTAAATAAATGAAATAAAGATCGTGGGAACGATCTAGAGCGAACAAGATCTAGATTTCCGTGCAGAATGAATTGGTCTAGGCTACTAAAACCAAGGAAATGAAGGAAATCGGTGAAATAAACGATTCTACATAGGACGGAATAATACGTTTGTCACCGTTGGATGATTTCAAAATGACGTATCGGGTGTCCTACCAACTAACATTTCTTATTTTTTATTATGGTAGCTTTTCGACTTGTAATAAGGCACTTTAAGTAAGTCTTTAACGCTCCCATAATAGTGAAAACTTCAATTTAACCGAACGAAACACACGATCTTTTGGATCATTTCAGACCGAATCGATCACTTTCACGACTCGACGTCAAGGAGTTCACTGACAATCCTGAAATCGAAATTCAATCCACTCAATGTGACATTAGGAGGGGTTTAGAGTGACTCACGCATTCGTTCATATATTTTTGAATCAATAATTAAGTATAAACATTTTTTACACCACTCCTATTTATGTATTCTCAGTTTCATCCCATCGTGACAAGTTTTGTCTTAATTGTTCCAATAGTTATTTTCGATCGAAAAACGTTGCAAAAGGTCGTGGTTAATTGTATTTTTCCGTTTTTCTGGCTTGGAAGCGTTAAAGAACCGAAAGGATTCGCGCGGATTTCTTGGCTGGAACATGATAAAGGTCTGGTCGCGAGATGAACGGCGTTCAGCGTGTCGGTGACGGATGTTCAGCAAATGTTTAGGTATAGTCACATCGCTGGAGTTAGCAATGGTATGAGATTCTCATGCAATAAGCAACATCAAAGCTAACTACGGTATATACCAAATGGTTCGTACTAAAACAGAACTATATAGATCAAACTAATAGGCTCACAGTTCCATATTTCCCAGCCCGGCTGGACTTCTGCACATCGACGGCGTTCCTATTTTTCTATTTTTTGGGGAGGGGGCATAAAGGCAAGAACTTCCATACATCTTTTTCTTAGTATTGTGTTGTCTTTCGTTTTGTATTTTTTTTTTTAAGTTCATTGGCATCTCCGACTACTTATCCTTAATCGATGACAGGCTACAGCTTAAACCAGAAAGTCGAAAACCTAGCTCGATATCCCCTGATCTCGAGTACTCGGTTTGCTTTTTGGTGTTTATTGCTTTTTTTTAACGAGGATAGTTTTTTAACAAGGGAAATAGTGTTGCCAGATGTTTATACGATTCTCGCAAACACGGTTGTCCCCCGAAGTCGCAATAGTGCGGTTAAAAAGATCTTGAAGGTACTGTTAACGCGATATTCTTAAATTAAAGTACTTTTTTTAATATAAAGCGTGTCTCACATAACGTGACCACCTTAAATATCTCAATTGTTTTCGATGATAGAAAGAAATGTTAGAGGAAAATATTATTTGACTAGAAGAGCAAAATACTGTGATAAAAAAATTCCCCAAGGTCATATTTTTCGAAATTTCGAGTAATAATTGATGTCAGGACCAATCCAATGACCTATTACAGTATGACCTTGAGCACGAAAAATCTACAACAGTACGGGAGTAGATTTACATAATAAAATAACTACGTTAGGTGGGACACCCTGTATATAAATTCGAAATCGTCCAATTTGCAATTTCTTCAAAAAATTCATTTCAATGTTAGTACAGACTCCTCTCGATTATTGTCCGGCTTGTTCTACACGATTATTGTCCAGGCGTTATCCTTGTAAGAAGCTTAGGCTCAGAGCTCTGAAGCAATTCTCCCTACATGATTATTGTCCCGGCGCAGACCTTAGTTCAGAACGATAATCGAAAGAAGTCTGTACAAAACTCGCAATAAATCGCCCAATCTGGCAACACCGTGGCGAACTGACTCTGAGCAAAACCTCCTGATCAAATTCCCTTTTCTAGTTCCCTCGTCTTTGCACAGTAACCAAAGGTGGTGGTTTCCTTTAAAATTCTACTCTGTTTCTCGAACTACACGCTACACACCTGGCGGAAAGAAATGGACGCTGGGAAACAGTTGTCGCCTGATCATAAAGATCGTTGGTATACACAGAACACGCTGGAGTTTATTCAAGCGTGGCTATCTTGATTATACAGGGTGTTCCATAAGACTCGGATAATTCCTGGTGGAAAGTAGCTGACAAAAAGCGTGTACACACGGTCGACAACGAAAGCACACGGTAATTATATACTTATGGAACTCCTGTCTCTCAGGTTTAAATCGGAGAAAAAACAAACGAACTCGATAACACCAACAGTCCAAAGGAACAAGTTGAAAATTCTCTCCAAGTGGATCCTTGCCTCGAGATACATTCTCGATTCTAATATTCAAGCTTCCATGAATATTATAATTAAATCGGAAAATCATGAAAGCTCAAGTCCTCTCACGTAGCTTCGCTCTCGAAGGTACAATAGATATTCCACCCCCACCCCCTGTCTGTCTTTTTCATTGTCGACGGAAAAACGGACGACAACTTCTACACATCGACGCTCTGCCCCGACTAGACACGATCCTTAACTTATTCAAGATCAGCTCACGATCCGTTTCACGCCAGGAAAACCGATTATAACCTCCTCTTCGTTTCATTCACTCAGTGTTCTCGCTTTCACTTTTGTGAATACATTACACGCGAGGCGGTGTACACCGTCAGCTAATAAGTCGAGCCTATTTACCCCAACACAGCATATACTATACAGGGTGTCCCGAAATAGTTATAAGTCCTTGAAAAGGGCGATTCCTGTGGTGATTTGAAACAACTTTTTCCTTAGCGAAGAAGTTCTCCGAGACTTTGTTAACGAGATACTCACGAAAAACTCCGACCAATCAGAGCACGGAGCCGGGGTTTTTTGTTAATATCTCGTTAACAAAGCCTCCGATAAGATTTTGGCACACCCTGTATTTTATACAGGTATTGTTCTTTTTTTAAAAAAAAAATGATAATGTATTTTAATTAAGGTAATGTTATACCTAATAGCTATAATGTTGCACTAATAAAAATACGTCATCCCAATTAAAAAAAAAAAATGACAATGACCTTGAAATATTGGAAAATATGACCTTGAGAAAATGATCTTCTGTATTGCAATAATTGCCCCTCTAAAGCAAACATTTTTTCTTTTACACATTTTCTCGTGTCATTAAAAACAACGGAGATATTTCAGCTGAAAATCTTAGGTGACTCACCCTATATAAAAAAAGTAGGTCATCTTGAATGATTGTGTTCAAAAATAATGTTTGAAAAGTTGAATTATTTAGGGGTCCAAACGGACCCAAGCACCGCTGCCGTAAGAACATCAAAAACGTCTGCCTTCTGAGGGTTAATAAAGAAACGAACGATCTATAACGAGTGATGAGCCTTTCGGATCTTACCTAAACACACATCGGCGCCATCTTGATATTGCACCTTTCTAATTTTTCGTTGTTATAGAGACTGGAAGCCAGGTTACGCGAATGATAGTGTACGTGTGTGTCTATGGCAAAGAACTGGACTGAAAAAAAAAGAGAAAATAAATGAAACGAGGGTGGGGGTTAGGAGAGATGAATGTGAAACTGAGATCAGAAAGAACAAAGAAAAAAGATATCGTCCCAAGTGGATTGAGAACGGGTACGTACCATGTCGTCCTTTTAACATCGAAGGGGGAAAACCATATCGAATTGTTCCTGCATGGAAAAAGTGAATTTGTGTTCTATACATAGTCACGGTCAAGCTTTTAGCGACGAGCTAAGCATATTTGGCATGATTCATCCTTTGCACGTGTTTCACCGTATCGCTACACTTTTTTCGTGTTGCTTTCAAAGATCCTTTGACGGAGATCGAGCGAAAATCAAAATTTGGTTAAACGAATGAATACCCTGGTAGAGGACTTAATGCAGTAAAGCCTCGATGAGTGTTCGAAGACTCCTCGGCACTGAACATTAAATATTTCATAAACTAATGGCCATATGTGGAAGAAATAAATCTGAATTAAAAAGTCAACGTTACACCTAGAGACCTCGCCTTATCAGTGTCGAGGAGCCTTCGAACACTCATCGAGGATTTAGTGTACACCTTTAACCCTGAGACGATGATGATTGGGGTCATTTTGACCTGACTATTTGCAAGAACTTCATCCAAATTAACA